AGACAGAGAATTTCATCTTCAATAGTGGCTGATCTAAAACACGCATTTCAGAAAGATGTCAACACCTTTTAAACATCTGCATACACACAAACATAATTAAAAGACCCCCAAACAAACCTCAGTGCCTGCACATAGGCTTCAGTCAGACCCTGCAGGGTATCTATACCAGGGCCCAAATCTGTGCCTTTCTGCAGACATACTGAGTTTCAGAGGTTGAACGCTGAAGTAAGAAAAAGATTCTCTGCTTGTTTAACAAGTCTTTATTCCCAGATATCTCTATTTAAACAGTGTTGGGAATACATGCTCAGCCTCGGTACTGACTGAACTCGGAGAGATGGAGCTGCAACAGCCTCACCTCTGTCAGGCTCTCAGATTTGGGAACCAAGCACAATGGACAAGGCTAACTAACTCAATCCAACTTCTGGCTGCTATTTTGCTACATGCTAAAAGAGTCAGAATTTAAACAAAAAGGTACTGTGTTACGCTCACAGAAAAAGCTTGAACAAGGAATTTTAAAGAATTGAAGCCTGATTCAAGCATTATAGATCTTATAAAAATCACAATAACATTTTAAATTGAATGTTTTTGTACCTATGAATTTTCATATTTTAATATTAATATACATAAAGACAAACTCAGAATACCTGCTACATTGTGCTTCAGACAAACAAACAAACAAAAAAAAGTAGAGAAAAAAAAATAGTACAAGTTCAGCACTCATGCCAGACAAATACCTACGACCAAACTATCCACTGTTACATTTATAGTTCGTTGGTTTTAACCAACAAGGTGGATGAGAAGAAAAAAAAAAAGTATCTGGCATACTTTACAATTAATATAACTAGTAGAAAACTAGATCAATCATATATACTGAATATAAGCACACAATAACTGCTACTATGAGGACATAAATACCATTGGCCAGAAACCATGGGTGAGGAGTTGAGATTAACTACAGTATTTCCTTCAGGTATCAGTGTCTCTCTGTTAGACCACCAGAATGTTTTGAGATTAGTTGTCAAACTCCCATGAACCTTAGAAACAGGATTATACAACTGTTAATGCTACATAATCACTGATGAAATCAAACTTCTTACAGACCTGCACATCCCATACCTACAAACTTTTCTGAACTGTAGGATTTGGCGCTGTCTGCAGTAACAAAAGAGGACCTCCTTCCTTCTCTAAACACACACGCAGCCTCTCACATAACATTCAGAGGAAAACTCTTTCTACTTTCCATGTAATCACATGGCCATACTATAGAAAAAATCCAACAGTGATTATATGTCAAATGACCATTATAAACATTTGAAGACTCTACCACCTAAATGACAAAACAAAACAAAACAATTAAAAAACCCAAACCCAGACACGGGCCAGTTGTGCATTTAGTAACTGCATTTTGAAAGCAGAACTTCTTGCTGAGAAAGAACAAGATACAGATGACTAAAAAGGAGGATGCATTTGAAGAGAAAACTGCTATGTGTTCCTGGCTAGAAAGATGGTCTAGAAAACACGTGTGTTTTCAGTCACCATTTGACTATGTTTTTTAAATGCAACTACATTGTTCACACCACAGACAACAGTCTGCTGACTGTTGCCTTTCTAGTACAATGTACTTTCTACCCCAGACAAAGCCATGGAAGGTCTCACTGGTGCGAGCAGCAGCAGGCAGGACGAGGGGCTCCCCCCAGGGTTAATCCATGCTGCCATCTCGTGGTTACACCCGCATAAGACCTTTACAATGCCTGTTTTTTAAATACTACCGTATAAAATTGTGTAACATCAGTAATGTTCTCTGAATAGCTAATGACACAGACAGAAGGTGTTCCTTCTTTTCTGGAAAATTACAGTTGGCTCTTTAGAAATAAAGCCAAGTTGCTCTTCAGACTTTCAGAATGGTATGAGCACTGCACTGAAGGGGTGCAGTGGATGTTTATTTACACTTTTCATGTATAGGCTGACAGAGCCACAAACAAAAGTAATATATACATTATATATAACATAAAACAGAATTATAGAATCATGGAATAATTAAGGTTGGAAAGGACCTTAAAGATCATCAAGTTCCAACCCCCCTGCCATGAGCAGGGAACCCTCCCACTAGACCAGGTTGCACAAAACGTCGTCCAACCTGGCCTTAAAAACCTCCAGGGATGGGGCATCAACAACCTTCCTGGGCAACCCATTCCAGTTCCTCATCACTCTTACAGTGAAGAATTTAACCTAATATTTAACCTAAATCTCCCCTCTCTCAGTTTATAACCATTACCCCTTGTCCTATCACTATCTTCTCTGATGAAAAGTCCCTCCCCAGCTTTCGTGTAGCCCCTTTCAAGGAAGGTGCTCTAAGGTCTCCCCAGAGCCTTCTCTTCTCCAGGCTAAACAGCCCCAAGTCCCTCAGCCTGTCTTCATAGCAGAGCTGCTCCAGGCCTTTGATCATCTTTGTGGCCCTTCTCTAGACCCTCTCCAACAGGTCTATATCTTTCTTGTGCTGAGGGCACCAGAACTGTACACAGTATTATTCCAGGTGCAGTTGCTCTGGATGGTATGTATATCCTTTATAATTGCTTGTAAAGGCATAGAGAACAGAATCTGTAGCCGTATTTTTATTATTTTTGGCATACATAAGCAGAAAATAACATGAGCATTTGTTACTGTTGTTCACTTACGTATTAAATTGAGCTAAGGTTAAAATAAAAGCAAAGATGAGCTGTCTTCTCACCAAAGAGCTAATGAGGTTTCATTAGGCTTCTCATCAAAGAGCTAGTTAGGCTACTTCTTAGACAATCCTGTGCACTGCTGCTTTAAAATTGCAGACCTCTAACCAAGGCAATCCTTCCTATCATTGCCCTTTCTCTGCCACATCCACAACTGGTCTGCCATCCTACCCCATGTTTTAACCCTCAGCCATTATTCATTATGTTTTTAAGTGATGTTTATAAGAACTAATTTTTAAGTGGGAATTAGCATAGAATAAGGAAGAGAAAGACAAAAATTGGCATACACAAACCTTTCCATACCTTTGAAATAGTAAAAGCAATTGCCAAAGCTAACTGTAAGTAGAGAAAATTCCTGAGACTTTAACTTAATTACAAAAACTATTTGGAGAATCTGAAAGAAAAGACGACTGGTATTTACAGAGCAGGAGAAGGGCTTTAGCTCTCAGAGAACAGTGAAAGACAGTTTATTAATGGCCTGTAAAGAAAGAGATGGGACAATGATAATTTCCCAGAGAACAGTGTCTAACTTTAGTCCATACATTTTAATGTCAAGAAGAAACAAGAATGTCAGATCCCAGCCCTGTCTTTTTACAGTATTTTGTAGAACTCCCTTGAAGGTTATTCCTGGAAAGCACACTGCTGGTAACGGGAAGTTATGTTCTATGTGTGAGTTCAGCTTTGGTCACACTGATTTTTAGTCTCAGAAGCAGGGTTTCCTACAAACTTTCTGTAGGCTAAAGCACACCAAAAGGAACCAGACTGGGCAATGAAGCACAAGTGTAAAATTTGACAACAGATCTCTACAAGGATTCTAAACAAAATTGAGTCTAATCAGGTACTGGTTAACAGTGGAGGCTTCTGAGGAAAAGTATTTACAAGCTGAACCAGTGTAAAGATAATTTCTGGCAAGTTCTGCCCCTCACAGCCAAATCATACATATTCAAGTGTAGCTAAACAAAACCAATGCAATCTTGTTTCATTATGGGTGTTTTACCAAAAAGAAGGTGAGGACCTAGCTCCATAGAATTGACTCATTTTTTAACTTTACTGTTCCTCTCTTTGTGCTTTCTTCCTTGTTACTCCTGAAATTCTCCTGCCCTTTCAGCAGGCAGAACTGTAGTCTCGTTCCTTGGCTCTTCTCAACAGTTTCTGTTTGCCTTGGCCACACAACCCTAGTAGTCCCTATTGTTAAGAAAATCTGGAGTTGGGTTTGTGTGACCTGCTGAACTTTGCCTTGTTATGCGAGTCAAAACCCCAGCCTAACAAACACTTAGTACATATAAACTGGAAAGTTCAGGGTAGAACCTAGTTTTACTGTGTGAACAGTTTAAAAACATTAACAGGCCGGGTTTTGTTAGGAACGTTGCCTCTTGGAAAGCCAGCCCAGTTCATGATTTGGCAAGTGTCTGAAGTTGCAGGGGAAAATTATTGTATTTTCCATTTTAAAATTGAACTGTACTTTACTAGAAGTGATTCAAAACAGAAATCTGGAGAGTATTATTGCTACATTTACAACAGACAAAACAGGAGCGGTAAAAAAAATAAAAAATAAAATCTCTTGTTCTGCAAATAATGAGAATGGATGTAGAATAAAGAAACCCCAAAGCATGAACTTATAAGCTCCTAGCCCCGAAAACACCCTGTGTTCAAAGGAAGGGGCGGGAGAGTCAGCGCAGCCCCCGCCCCGCTGAGACTCCCCGCACCCTCAGGGGGACAAGA